CATGTTCGTACAGGTTTCTTGAGCAGCAAACCTTTGTCTCCTCGGATAATGCGTTAACTCTAGTTTTGCGTCGCCCTTCTCCTTCATTTGGATCGAGCGAAAAGGAATTTTTGAACGGAGCTTTCCTCTTCCATGATGGTCGGTATAAAATATTGCAATAGCATGTCCATTAGAAATAATGTAATCAAAATTATAACCATTAATATCGGTTACGTAAATCGTATTTGTGTTTTAATTTAATTTGGGAATCTGCATCAATTTCATATGTATTATTTTAAATTTACATGCGAAACATATTTACATACTTTATTCGATTAATTATTGCGTAGAACAAGTTGATGGCACGCTGCGACCTGATACGTTGTGTGATGTGGACTACTACGGACTGAGCAGTCCGCGTCAGGGCCACGTCACGAACCCTGGCGGCCAGCAGTTGTTTTGGAACTACGAGGGAACTTTACGATGCTCCCAGAGATTCATTCCAGCGGCCAACCAGAGCATCACGTTGACCGTGAGTTCTCTCAGTGACTTAATGGGCGAAACTTGCGTAATTTGGAAGAGTCTAATTTGATTTCTTCTCCCAAACTCCCCACGTACTGCCCGCGATCTGAACCCGCCAGAATGTGGCTGTGGTTGGGGAACTGTTAATCAACGATGTATTTTCGAGGCCGCCATTGGGCATAATAAGCACATACGCCATGAGAACAGAGGTGTTATAACGAAGAGGCGGGGAAAGAAATTGACCAGGCAATGAATTCAAGTTGTAGACATTTTTTTGCGTGCTCGAAATTCATACATTTAATTCATACTATTGCTTTAATCTATTTCTATTCCAACAAACCTGAAAAACATAATTCCCAATTAGTATGGGAAGTAGTAGGGTAATATTCCCCATGCTCCTGACTCCCTGAACATAAAGCTTTCAACGACTCTGTTCACTTATGACTTAATACATTGTGTTTTAAATGCATGTTGTCATACAGAAATATCATTTATGCTATTGACAGAGGTATTTTCCAACTATTCGCGACAGTTTACGTAGCGTCACTTCGGTTCGGTATGCTTTCTGAATCTCCTGTGCCTTGTGTGTTTCTACCCTTATTGTAGACATGTTATGTAGGAAATTGTACGTATAACCGCCATTTAATATTTTGTGGTGGCTTCTTCGTATTGCTTGCCTGTACAAGTCACGTACTCACTGAATGAGAGTCGTTGAGGATAGCCTCTCAATTCTTTCTGACAATTCCAGATCTCAAGTTATGTCACTTCATATTAAGAAGCTTATTATCAAAGACATATTTTTATATATTTCTTTACCTTTTGTCATAATAAGATCAAAAAATCGATATTGCAGTTATTTCTGTTGGTCAGATTAGATAATTATAATGAATAGTGTAACTGACAATATTTGTTCATACTTTTTGCTCACAGATAACAA